TGCTTTAGGTTCGTACCCAACTGGACTCATACCTTTGCGTGCACGCTGACGTGTCTCACCGTTCCCAGCAGCCCGTCCGAGGCAAGAAACGTGCTCACCGGAGCCCTTGATGATGCTAATGATGCACCACTCGGCGTCAATTGCATCACTTGCATCACCATGCCCCCATTTTTATTTCATTTTCAGTGTTTTCTGACCTTCACTTTTAGGCGCTCCCCCCCAGCCGGCTCAAGGTTCACCCTCTCAGTTTCTTACGTTTTGGGCCCCCCTTCGTTCGCTCACAAAGCCTCCAGCCACGCCTATCGGCTGGCTTTCGTAAAAGAGCAGTGTAACGACCATACTATAAATGATAAATCATATAGTATGGTACACATTTGATCACATTAGCATCCTCCATCGAATTTCTGGAGTATGTAGGGGTGGTTGATTTTTTAATTTGAGGAAAATGTGCCACAGAATCAAACACCCCAGGTTCGCCAATCTGAAAAGCTTTACAAAATCAAACCCCCCAGGACGCAGGCAAGGGACAACTCTCCAGCCGATATTACAAAATCAACTGTCTCAAGATACAGTCTTTACTAAATCATAGGCACTCTGTCGACATGGCTAAAATTCATTGTGGCCCACTTATTTTCAGGCTGTTTGTCATTTCAAATGACAGGCTGATGCAATCTGTAATTAATAATAGATGGCAAGTCAATTTCTAGCTAATTTTTTGATTCTCTTATATTTAGGCCATAGAAATAATGGCCAGTGAATAATTACCAGTGAATAATTAATATATTTTTTTGGCTTATAATTTATAGGTCCCAGAGCAGCCAAGAAGGTAAAAAGGTGGAGGAAAATAAAAGACATAAAGAAAGTTTGAATCCTAATGAACTAGCAGATGGCCTGCAAACTAATTTAAAATAAAGTTTGCATCTGTGATTTTCTATGAAATTACTATAAAGAGAATCCCATAAAGATAGAAAATAAATAAACTAGCCATTAAATCTCAAATAAAAAATAATCACCAGTGCGGCACTTTTGACATCCATACCAACATATCGATTCCTTACAAAATCAACAGCCCCAAGAAAGAATGCTGCCCTTACAAAATCAACCTCCGCACCCCCACAAAAATGGGTACCTGGAAACAATTTTTTTTTTTACAATATCGAAGCGCTTTTTGTTACCCAGGAGGTTGATTTTTTAAAGGAAATTTGAACGGGGATACATTAGCCAATTGTATCTAATTGTGGTCCGCACTTGCTGGAACTGATCGGCTCGTACTTCAGATGTTCACGGTCCCAAGCATTCTGCCAACAGCCTTGAAGGCCCAAAGGGCGACTGAAAGTAGCGCCTTACTGGCGTTTCATCGCTGTTCCTAGTAGCTTTTTGTTACTAGTAGTAAGGCCAGGAGCCTCTAGTAGCGTCCTTGCCCCTAGTACCGATGCACTTTGTTACTAATGTTGCTAGTAGTTTCTTTTTCGTAACTGGGAGCCGCACACTGAGCTCGCAGATTTGCACGAAACGTGCGCCCGAAAGAGGGGTTCGATCTATTGCAACTTGGGCACCACGATGACCCCGAAGCTGCAACGGTCAGGTTGAAGCAGTGGTGCTGCCGCTAGCACTGCCAAGAACTCCTGCAAATATTCAGTGGCAATGGAGCAACTCAAGAACAACAAACGCACACGCCACAAAAAAAACAGATACATTATGTTTATTATGTCTGGTCATCATAATGCATCCGAATCTAACATTCTGCAACCCGTCTGACACACTCGCACTGGGCGAGCGTAACTTCAAAACAATCAGAAAACATGACATGCACGGTAGAACCTTTTGAATATCTGAAGCTAATCTCAAGAAAATCACGTTCAGTAGTGGTTCCCAAGCTAGTGAGAGCAATGGTGTCCTCAGCCATATGCAGCGGCAACCTAGCCAGGATGGGTGCAAGGGAAATGATGATTGGTGCAAGTGCGGCGAACAAAACTTGCCGTGTGAAACTGAAGCGAGCGGCAGGGGCGTGTCTGCTTGTTTGGGGTGGTAGGTCTTCCACCATGTCCCCGCTGCCACCAACAGAGCTTCGTCTAAAAGGTGGTTGGCCTCAAGGACTGCAACGACAGGTGTGGGCGCGTCGAACGGCTGTGATGTTTCACCACCTTTCGACAAGTCTTCCAAAACCTTTACGTTCAAGAGACTTCCAGGTTGCAAAGACCATGCATGATTCGTGACTATACTTTCAAGACATGGACACTTGTTCATGTGATCATCCATGACCACTGCCTTGTCGCAAAGGTTGGGGATCCGATCACCAACCACCATGGACACAGCGCGGCCCAGAACAGCCAGAAGTTGCGCAAGTGGCCAACTTTGCAGCAGCATCACATGCCAAGGCAAATCCACCTCAGCCAACAACCGAATGGCAATGTCCGCTGGGTGTGTTGAGCAATCTAGGTGGCATGTCCATGCGGCACGTCTGCGCTAACCTGTTGTGCCAAGGGTCATAGAAGAAAAGCCCCTCAAGTTCCAGCTGGGTCTTGGTCCACTTCTGCGACCACGTGCGCCCTTAGCATTCGTCCAATTTCACATCTGTTCAGTCCGACATATATGCTTTGTCTCCTTGGAGGACATCGGGCCTCGTTGCTTTCGAACAGACCCGACCACACCCACCGAAATGACCACAGCACCATCTCTCAGCGGCAAGGCGCGGCTCTCCTCATCCTCCAGCAGTGCACCATGCAAAGAACAAATGGTGTCAGATAAGTGGGCACCTGTCAGATTAAGTCAGTTTTGAATTGGCCTAAAGGTGCTAAAACCCGAAAAATTGTTCATCTGTGGCTTGCAATTTCTTGATATAGACCAGCTGCTGAGCCACCCCAGGTAGCAGTCACTGCGCCATGAACTGTACCCTGAGCCATGCTTGGTGCAAAAGGCACCATTTGCATTCAGGACAGGGAATGCAAGAAAAAAAACGCTATGAAGGCTGCAGCCGTGGAGCGGGAGTCAATGTCCCAGGCACTGCCCATGGCCTCGAGCAGCAAACCCAGGTTCCCAACAGAACTCTCTTCACATGTGTCGATGACTGGTATTGCGGGTCCAGACCGGGATCCGATCCCGTAATCATGGTCCAACAGCTGCTGCCAAGACATGCATGGAACATGGTGAAATTTGAGCCTCATGAATGAATGTTGAATGAACCTGATTGAAACTTTTGGCGCTAGGTTCCCAAACCGCGATCGCACGTTGGAGGGGCACACGGCAGTGGCCCCAATCCAACGTGGAGCCAGAGGGCCTTTGCAGGAACGGCAGGAGGTAGTCTTGACAAAATTGCCCACCGGCCTGCCATTGCCAATCCACTGGCGCAGCCTCAACTCGATGTCCTCGGATGCTGCGAGGCTCTCTTGGACATGACGGCGCACAGCCTTAGCTGCAGGCGCGTGCGGGCAGACCCCACTGCGTGTCAGGTCGCGATTCTCTTGTCTAGTTTTTTGCAAAACATGTGGCATATGATCTGCTCAATTGTATTTTTGTTGCCGCTGGCCCTGGTAATAGCTGGTGGGCACGCGCTACAACTTGCAAGGGTTGGCCGGGAACACAGAAACAAAGAACAACTCAACATTTTCCCAGTCAGAAGGCGACAGAACAGCAAGAAACCCCAAGTTGCTAAGCTACCAAGCCAAACGACCACCGGCTGCCAAACAAAGAACTTGGTAAAAAAAAACCTGTTGTTGATGTTGTTGTTGCTGCTGTTGTTCGCACACCCTGCCCATTGCAGTGAGCACACGCATTGTGCACTACAGCACGCACAAACTATGAACGAAAGGCTGGTGCTTGGACACGCCGGCTTATGACTGAAGATTACGCCCCGCAGGGTCTCCGACGTCCTTAAAGGAGCTGGGAGGCAGATGGGTCAAAAATTGATTCCGAAAATGTAAACTTGACACCTTGCGACACTGCTGCAGCTTTCACTGCCAAGGCTGGCGCACGCTTGCACCAAACGAGTCTGCGGATCCTTTTCAATGTGCACCGCACTTCAACTGAAGCGAGGGCGGAGAAAAAAATGTGCGCTGGTGAGGCCGCAAGGAATTCACAGGTGCCGAGAACTTTGTCAGCAACTGTTAAAATGTTCCAGAGGATAAAATATGGGTTGGCATTTCACTGGTGCCACCAAAAAAAATTCAAGCCAAAACTAAAATTTACTGATTTGTGGGATGCCAAGCGCACTTCTACTATCTTCTACTACCCCTTCCGCTGCTGCACCGTCTGCAGGGCTTGAAGCCCGGTGAAGGTCTGGGCGTCAACGCGGGCAGGATGCGTCCACAACCACAGCGCAATCGCCCCAGAGATGTTCGCCGCACCATGGGTTGCTTGGGCTGCTGAGGAGGGGGGAAGGTGCAGCAGGCAATGTGTAGAGCCTGCTTAGACTGCCATGGTGTCAAGAAAACGCGACCCTCTTTTCTCCTCAAATCCTCGAGCCACTGCACAGTCGGGCGTCACACTTGATAAGAACAGATTTCTGCTTTCAACTTCACATGCGCGTCATCTAGCGCGGGGGTCATGCTAAGTTTCGACACCCCGCCTTAGAGTTTGGCGAATTTAGCCATTGGGAATTCTTAATCATTTGATTGGCTGAGGTCATGTACAAAACTAAACAATGGGTAGGCTAACCCAACCAACCGGCCATATAGTTTCTTGAGCTGACCATTTGAAGACCCAGACTGTCCTTTGCTTACCATTCGCTCCTGAACCTATCCCCATGCGTAGCGTTCTGGGGTAATTGGTATAATAGTTTAGCATAATGAAAAAAAACATGAAAACTGGAGGTCAGGGTGCGCAATATTTTATTTACACAACGCATGGGGTATCATAAAGCTACACTCCCGGGCCCCCAACGCATCAAGGCATGCGCGGTGAACTCGTAAAAGTGTTACCGGCATTCATAGCAGTTTCCTGGGATCTTTCAACGGTTTTAGACTAGAAAAGGCAGGCCCCCGAAGAACATGACGCGTTGCCATCAACATTAACCCCATCAAAACATCCCCCTGTGAGTTCGGGAGCCGGCTGGGGTGTCTGATTTTGTAGTTACAAATCGCGAACCCAACCATAGGGCCCCCCTGTGAAGTCTACAAATTGCAACCTCACAGCCCGCAGGCAATCATCTGACTTGACAAAATCAAGGATTGATTGACCCGACCATCAAGAGCTCTAAATATTGACTTTCCCGGAGACACATTTTGAACAGATGATTTTGTAGTGAAAAGGGTTTTGTAATGAAATGAATTGTGGTCTCTTTGGTGTCTTTTTGGCACGTCCTGATTCTGTAGGGAGGTAGTTTGGCACGTCCTGATCTTGTAGGCATGTCCATGTTCTGATTACTAATCAGCCAAGAAAAATATAAAATCAACATTTTAGCATATGGTGGTTTGACACACATTGATTCAAGTTGTCTTCCATTGTTTTTTGCCAGGACTTGGAAGCAGGACAATTCCGTGTCAAACCCCAAATCGTCCAAACAATTCGAATCCTGAGTTTCGATGCTGAATGCAACGGGTTGGGAACTTGGTATACGGTGGCTGCTGATGTGGACTTGTGGCGCTCCTTGATGGACGACTTCGTGCTATTTTGTTTCCGGAGTTGATTTCATTTCCCGGGATGATGTTTTTGAACCAAAGAAGTTCTTGTTTTTCACCCCGCCTGCGCCCTAAATGGGCCGCCTTCGGACGTGCAGGCACAAAGTCAAAAAGTCAAGTCAAGTGTCCAACATGCTTGGGCTCTTCTACAGGACCGCAACCCCACCTCAGAAGGTGAGATTCTTGGTGCCGCTTCAAGGACCGTTGCCAAACCAGGGCTGATTTTGTAGAAAATTTGAAAACCAACGTCTCTACAAAATGCTCCCTGTTATGACACTCCGGGGTGCTTCTTTTTGTAGTGAAGATTTCAAGGATGATATCTAATCCACTCAAAGTCGAAAAACGACCACAACGACATGTGCGGATCTGCGCCCCTTTTCCTGACGGGATGGATCCGAAAGGGCAGCTGCGATCAGCAACCCAGGTTCAAAGTCGAACGACGCTCTCTCGAAAAGGCGTCGATCACAAATCTGTCCGAACACTCCCCCTTTGCACTTCCGTGAGGGAGATGCAACTTCCTGAAGCAAAATCGGCCTTTAGGCCTTTTTTTCCAGCTCAAACTGCCCTTTTCTTTCTTCAACTTCTAGCCAGCAGGTCCCCTGCATCTCGTGCAGGGTGTGTAGCGCAGCAAGTCTGTCAGCCCCAAATTGGGACAACTCCTATTCGAGTGCACTGAGCCACCCCAGGTGGCGCTCCACAAAGTCGCCTGAGTTGGCATTCCTCGGCTGGCCTTGCAGTGTGCACACCAAGGCGATCGGCGTGCTTGCCCGGTTGTCCGGGCCTTGAGGTAGTCACATTCATGTGTTCGATGATGCACTTTTCCATATCGTGTAGTCAACACGATCTCTTCTTCATTTTCTTCTTCTCTTTGGCCTTGTGGCCTTGGTGCTTTGTTTCTGTTCCCACCAGCTTGAGTCGCAGGCTGGTGAGCCGCTGAGGGTGCTCCACTCGATGAAGCAGTCCTCCTGTCTTCTTCTTCCTTTTTCCTTCTTTCATCCTCTTGTTGAGGGCCTTCTTCGCTTTCTTTCTTTTTCGCTTCCGACTGAACCTGTGTTTGAGAGGAAGCCGACGCCTGCCCAACAGATTGACTGGATTGGCCCGGCAGGTGATATGGCATTCCCCATACCATCACAGGTGTCAGAGGAAGTTGACACTCTTTGGGTGTGAGAGGCACTGAAGACGGAGTGGTGTGTGGAGTCGGTGGCACTGGAGACTGAGTTGGAGTGGGAAGATAGTTTGGCCTAGACACTTCTTCTTCACTTTCATCTTCTTCTTTCTTCTTTAGTGCTTTCAGCCTGGCTTTCCGATCTGGTGTTCTGGGAGGACTTCGCTGGGCACGTCCAAAATCACTTGGTGAATGGCGATCTTCTCCAGTTACTCCCTCCTTCAGATACCAGATCGCTGAGGTGATGATGATCACGATCAGGGTGTACAGAAACACCATCCAGCCAAAATTGAACTCTTCTTCAATTTCACTGGGATCCTGTCCTTGGCCGTTCGCAGCGGTGATTGTCGCCGCAATCGTTAGCAGCTTCAAAGCCATCGCTGCTTTTTTGAATCTTCTGGATCATTTCTTCCTTTTCTTGACTCTCCTTACCTGTCTCAGCCTCAACCTTTTCTTCTTTTCCTTTTGTCTCCTCCATTGACTTCACATTCATCCTTTTCTTCAGATCTTCTAGGCGATTGGCCGCCAGGGCTTTGGTGCCAATGTCGGCCACCATGACATCACCTGGGAGATGGTGGATTCCCCAAGATCCTTCTTGGATGGTTTGTCTTGCATAGGATGCCCTTGTTCTAAGGTGTCTCGTCCTCCAGGATCCTCCTTCGTTCACGAGGATCGCAAGACCGCTTTGGCTGTCGGTCCATGCAACGTGAACCATCGGACCTGTCAATTCCTCCAAAATCACCCCCACGGACTCGCCTGCAATCATGCCCTCAATGATTTCATTCAACTCGGCTTCTGCGGTGGAAAGGGACACGGTACTTTGTTTTCCAGCTCTCCAGAACAGGGGACTTTTTCCTGCCATGACCACCGTGCAGCCGTGAGATTCATCTCCATAGGGGGCAAAGCTTGCGTCCGTGTAGACGTTGATCATCACTTCATCTTCCTTTTCTTTGGCATAGCAAATACCTTGGTCTTGGGTGGCCTTCAGATAGGCCTTTGTCTGAGCTCCTGCTTCTTGGACTGCCTTGGTGCCACTCAAAATGCTTGATGCCATACGGGAGACACTGAACATGATGTCGGGTCTAGTTCTCGTGACGATCCATAGCATCTCGCCCACGATTTTCTGGGCCAAGCGAACATCATTTGGAGACGTGGTTCCAGTGTCCTTCGGCATCATAGCTTGGTCCTTGGTGATCGGCACCTTTCGAGGCTTCATTTGTGAATCTTCAGCAGCCAGGAGGTCAGCTAAATACGACTGTTGTGAGAGGTGCCACAAATCCAATCCTTCTTCAGACTTCTTTTTCTTCACTTCCATCCCCAAAAATTTCACTCCTTCTTCAGTGATTTCTTCAGGCGGGGATGTGGTCCAAGTTGCCATGATCTTTTGAAGAATGGCCTTGGAGACTTCAGGGCTTCCGGCTATGAAGATGTCATCAACATACGTCATCAACACACCTCGAAGCTGGTCAGATCCTCGAGGTAGCACTCGCCACAGGTTTGGTTCTGATGCAAGTGGCTCGAGAACAAGTACTTCTTTCTCTTCCAGGTCTTCTTCCATGGTGATCTCCAGGTCAGCTAAGACGTGATCACGGTGTTCTCCCCAAAGTCGAGGTGACCTTCGCAATCC